TATAACAACCTGACATGACAAAAATTAATTACACGAGGTGGGATTATTCTTTTTCTTTTAAAAACTCACAATAAGTGCCTTTCGTTTTCCTTCCTCCAGTGTGAAACTTTACCTGCAAAAACATGTATCTTTCATATAAACTAAAATCAAAATTAGTTCCTAATCGGGCATCCATCTGCTTTAATTCAGTTGCCTTTTCCACCACTAAATACGATTCTTCCCTCAATTATTACATGTTTCAAAAGCATGTAATACGTTCTTCACCAGCTAGAATCAAAATGATACATTTTCTTAACCACTTCCATCACTATGAGGAGCAAATTCTCTGCATCCTTAATAATTGCAAGAATAACATTTTACTTACGTAACGCCTTCCCCATTCCCTCCTGCGATTTTGTTGGATGCTCGAATCATAGACTTCAAAACGAATGTTGCTTAAATGGTTAAACAACTATATATACTTTTCTCTGGTAAAATAATTGATTATACATTTTTTTTGACTAATTGTGCATTTTGTTCTCCAACACTAATTAAGTCGCCTAATGGGCTAGCAGCCATGCCCTCTTTGATATAGGGATGGCGATGGGCCACTACAGGAATGGGGATCTTGCGGAAAATTTTGACAGAGTAGCATTTACCTCCTGCTTTTCATTCCACGCGAGAATTTCTTGCCCCCATCAATATATATTACAAAATAAAGATTAAATGTGAATTTTGTTTTCTCAATTTAAAGTTTTACATAATTTTGATTTTTTAACTTTTTTTTACATTTTTTTGTCCCTTAACCATAAAAAATATATTTTTTAGTTCTTCCATCAATTAATCCATTAAGTTTATATAAATCTGCATATTTTTTGCCCTTTAACTTAAAGTTACGGGATGACAAATGTGCATATATTAGAAATTGAACAATTAAAAATGTGCAAATTCATATAGATTTAATTGATTAATTGACGAAAAATCAAAAAAAATGTATTTTTTACAGTTAAGGAATCAAAAAAATACAAAAAAAGTTAATGAATGAAAATTATGCAAAATTTTAAAATTAAAAAATCAAAATTAGCATTTAACCGCACCGATCCCTTCAGGCCAAGTGACAATAGCCACCTCACGGTGCACTCTCTCCTCCCCTGGGCTGGGGTTCGACCCAACCCCTTGTCAACCTGTTCAAAAAAAAATAGCATTTAACCAAAAATAAATTAATTTAATTATTTTAAAACAAATATTTTAAATAATTGAGTTAAAGTCCAAAAAGTTGTTCTATTGAGTTTGATTTAAAGTAATTAAATTTTTGTTTTAGATTAAAATTAAAAATAAATAACAAGTATGATTATAACTATAAATTAAATACTTAAATTAAGTTATATTTAATAATTTTTCCTTTTTTTTAATATTTTTACACAGATTGAAGATCTTGCGGGGGTTCACAAGTAGGGAAAACTCCTCAGAATTTTAAGGGGAGAAAATGCTACCTATAC